AGTTTTGCATCTAATAGCACATGAACAGAGGTAAAAAGAAAAAACAACTGGTATCCTCGAAGAACTCCATCGCCAGGGCTCAGTCTAGCAAGCGGAGGAAATAGAAGCAATCGTAGAAAAAAATAAAAGAACAACACCCAGAGAGTATTTACAACCAGAATCCCCGAACAAACACGAGTGAACGCCACGCCGGAGAAATATCAGAATCAGACAAATAAGGGGGTGCTTTTCCTGACGAAGTCGAAGGAAATGTATTGTGCTATGCAGTGTCGATGGATGACGGGTGGAAGATGATGAGGTTGATGGTGGGTGGGTGAAAGCGGTGGACGAGAGAGAGAGGTATAGAAGTGGTGGCGGTGGTGAAGTTGTCAAGGTCGAGAAGGTAGGTAGGTATACATAGGTCAGGAGAAGAGAAAAAGAGAAAAAGCTCCAGGCCTTTTCTTCTGAAGGTAGATGCGAGGAGGGAAACAGAATCAACGAGGCGCTCAAAGGGATATCGATCAGACGGCGAGAAAATGAGGCGAATGCGAGGTGCGAAGAGGGTGCTGGATAGGACAGGCAGAAGAAAATGGATGCAAGAATGTTGGTGGGTATGCAGATCGAGAAGAAGAACGACTAGTTCTCCGTCTTCTCGTCAACGCGGTTCAACATCACCGGCGTCTCACCCAGCGCCTCGCCGGTATCAGGCGGATGCTGCTCAGCGGCCTGGCGCGGCGCAGGCGCAAGTTTCACTTCCCGAATGGCCATATCACCCTCACTGCCTCCGCGACTGCTCTGGCTGATATCGCCATTCGGCGGCTGGCCCTCGAGCATCATCTCGCTATGCTCGCCGATGCCGTATCGCTCCGCAGCCGGAATCTGATGCCCGTCCTCCAGTTGATCGTGCTTCTGCGGCGTCCAAGCAAGATAATCACGACGGACCTCGACGTAGTCATATGCGAATTCGCCCAGCTGGTCATCGTCCATACCGAGCAGCTCGGCTTCTTCGGAGGCGCGCAGATTCAGGCCCGGGATGGCGTTGATGGCGTAGGCGATAATGGCGGACACGACAAACGAGTAGGCCGATGTGGCGACGATGTATGCAACCTGCACGTACAGCTGCTTCCAGTTGTGAATGACCCAGCCGCCGGCGGTGGTGCCGGTGTTGACACCGTCGAGGCCGATGATGGCGTTGTCGCCGAAGAAAGCGTTAAAGAGAAGGCCGATGATTCCCGCGACGGCGTGTTCAGCCAACACATCCATAGAGTCGTCGATGCGGATCCAGTACTTGACTGTGAGACAAAAGAGGTCAGTAAATGAAGAATGCATGCAAGACCAAAACGAGACTCACTCTTGGTGGAATAATTGCAAACAATGCCCGTCACAATACCCAAGATCACACTAGCCCACGGAGAGATATATCCCGAAGCGGGAGTCGCAGCCACCAATCCCGAGATCGTTCCCGAACACCAGCCGACCATCGACCACTTCCGAGCCAGGCGCCAATCGAGCAGAACCCACGTGATGGCACCGAACGCGGCAGTCAAGTTCGTATTCCAGGAAGCCATCGTCGCACGAATATTAGCACCGAAAGCTGAGCCGCCGTTGAACCCGAGCCAGCCGAACCACAGAAAGACCGTGCCGAGGAGGATGAGAGAGACGTTATGCGGCCGGAAGTTGAGCATCATGCGCTCCTGCCGGCGGCCGAGCACCATGGAGTAAGCCAGAGCCGTGAACCCGGACCCGATCTCGACGGGCCCGCCGCCCGCGTAGTCCATAACACCATACTTGTACGCCCAGCCGTTGGGATTCCAGACCCAGCAGGATAGCGGGCAGTAGACGATGGTTGCCCAGATGAAGACGAAAATCATGGCGGGAAGGAGTCGACCGCGCTCCGCAACGGCGCCCATGACGATGGCAGCGGTGACGGCGCAGAATTGCATCTGCGGAGAGACCGAAGATTAGCCACCTCTTATAACCACCCGCTGGTAATTAGAGTATATACAACATACCTCGTAAAACGAAAAGAGCAGGTCCGGAATCAGCGGCGAGCCCGGACTGGGGTTCGCCAGGACCTTCATCAGACCGAAATTGCGCAGGTTGCCGATAAAGCCATTGGTTGCGGTCGGTGAGAAAGCTAATGAGTAGCCCCAGAAGTACCATTGGAACGTGACGACCGACATGGAAGCCATACAGGCCCAGATCATGCTGAGCGCAGACTTCCGGCGAGCCAGACCGGAATACAAGAATCCCAGGCCGGGGACCATGACGAGGACCATGGCGGAGGCCACGATGATGTAGGCCTGGTCGCCGGATTGAAACCATTTGTTGACATTTTCGGTTCCTGCAAGACACTATATTAGATTGGCACGGAAAAATGTGAGATAGAGCAGTTCGTACGAGAATCACCGCCTAGGTCGTTGGTGGCCAGACTGAAGTCGGAGGGCGCACCGATCCAGTTGTAGGAGGCATAGTCCGGGGCGTACGGGGCCTTCCCGTTGAACACCATGGCGCGCGGAGGACCTCACGCGAGAGGATTTGCGGTCTGAGCGGGAGGAAGACAGGTCAATTGGAAGGAAGACAGGGGGGGGTGAGCGAGAGAAAGAGAATTAGAATGGTGTAGAGAAGGAAAGAGAGAGAGCGAGAGGAAATGTACTGTGGAGAACGAACAGTTGCCACTGGGGAGGAATCGGAACGATTATAGGGAAAAGAGAAGCTGGCCAGCAGTGAGTCGGATCGACAGCTCCACCGAAATCGGTGTCAAGGGGGAGAAAAAGAAAATCTGGGCGCTGAAGCGGGTCGATTATCGATGACAACAGCAATGGGATAAGCAGATGATAAACGCATCGAACAAATTTTTTCTTTTTGTTTTAGACTAGGAGTATCAACACACAATCCATAAGCGCGCCATGCGATCATGATGAATTCCCTCTCTCATCATCCCTCTCCGGCTCCCAGGGCCGCAGGGTCATCTTGTCCGCAGTGGCGACGGCGAGAAAGGGTCCACGCCCCATGGGTCTCATGCAGGATTTCCTCAACGGGTTAAAGATGGTAGGACGTCCATGATCCGACGTCCAGCGGGTGTGATCTCTGGTCTATATATACTCCTCGATCGCAACGAGCGCGACCGAGATAACAGATGGTGTTATCTCTTCTCGATATGATCACTGCGCGCTCCATCTCACCCGCCCATTCTATACAAGAACCGGGCTGTCAGCGTGCACTTATCAGGACGTTATCTGGGGCTTGTGATTGGGTCATTTTCCACTGCTCTGATTGGCCCCAGATAAAGTCGCCCGTTGCCACTGATCGCGGACTAGCCGGAGTCGGACTAGGGAGGCCAGAACCCGGGCACCGTCGATTGGCTCCAGATAAGCTATGCCGTGTTCTCCCGAACGGGTGACTCAAGGGTATAGCTACAGTCGGTATCGTTCGTAGGTAATCGACAGCGTCCTACGGAGATGAACAGAAGCATGGAAGGAGCTCGTAGAAGAGCGGGCAGGAGTGGAGGGCCACAAGTGCGATTGGACGGTCCTCGAGCAGGAGAGAGAGAGAGTAGACGGAATGAACACGGAGAGGGAGGAGGCACAGACCGGTTCTTAAGACATCTCCCGGATGGGGGTGCTCTGGCCCATACCAACATTACTGGCGCCAATCCTCTCATCAAGGCCGGCTGGCCCAATGGCAAGGCGCTTGACTACGAATCAAGAGATTGCAGGTTCGACCCCTGCGTCGGTCAATTTTTTTGCACTCGTTATAGAGAGTAGTGGTCAATTTTTAACTTATAATCGACGATTCGTCGACCCCTGCGTCGGTCCAATTTTGCGTTTTATGAGAGATATCATTCTCACTTATATATGTGGGCCTCTATAGTTGACGTATGATTATAATCAACTCTAAAACTGGTGCATGCGGCCACAGGGTGTACTGTGCAAAAGAAGCAATCATATGGTCATAAACTGCATCGCTCATTTCGAGCCTAGAAGTGTCATGGTTGTAAAGAGAGTAGATCATACCATTTGTCATATTGGGTAGTGTGGCCGAGTGGTAAGTTGCAACTGTTAATTTCACAATGAAGCGTCTTCTAACAATGGTTTCAGGTCTAAGGCGTACGACTCAAGGGATCCCTTACCTTCCCAAGGAAGGTGTCTTCGTATGGCGCAAGCCGCGTGGGTTCGAATCCCACCGCTATCATTTTTTTTCTGCTTAGTCTTTTAATGCGACCGTTTGTTACCGGTATCGTAAGATGTTACGATCTAAATTACTATGGGAGTAATTCCAATTCAGACTATCTTGTCATTCCTCATTCGCGATCGGACTGTCGCCAGCCCACGCTGGTTCCGATCTGCTGAGTAGGATGTGGGGCGAAATGCCAAAAGAGTCTGTTGTGTGCGGTTCTGCTTTCGACAAAACAGGCGGCTGAGACGGGAGGTTGCTCGCTGCGCTGATAAGCTGTATCTCCCAACATTTTTGCTCTTCGTTCAAAAAATGCATCGATAGTTTGCCTAGATCTTGGTCATGTGCCAGTACATTTCTGCAGCGTCTTACCAAATCGGCACCTGGTGATGTGGTCTCCTTATACGCGAGAAGAGTCATGTCTGCGAGAGACGGCTCGATCATCTAAACGCGGAATTTCGCGCCATTGACCTTTCTGGAGGGGCTTCTCCATGCAACCAGCCGGATACAAACATGTACATATTCTATGTTTACCAGAAGGTAATATTGTAGTACCAATTTGAAATACATGGAACAGGATCGAACTAGTAGATCTCCGTAGCCGCGAGCTCAAAATATGGAGCGTTATCGATCAGTTATCCCGCGGGGAACTGAACATTGGCCCATATCACGCTAGCGCTAAACACAAAGGGGTACTAGAGCATGTTTGTCTGCTTTTAGTCTGAGATACTGGATCCAACAAAAGTATATGATCTTTTGCAATAACCTAACAGTGAATCGACGCGTGCTCTATGATACACCAGTCCTCTTGATATACTTACTCTCCGTTAGGAATTTGCCCACACCTACGCGGACTCGACAATATGGTTCCGCTCACAGCCGATACGCTCCAGACACTTATAGAAAGCCTCCGCATCGGCCCAGTCCTCTGGACAATAGACACCAGGTCTTTTCTGCGAGCCTTGGTCTAGGACTAGGAGGACAAAAGCTGCACATGCTGCTCCAATTCCAGTTGACATTTTTCCTCCCAAAAGTGACTCTGGCCCAATGTTAGGGACGCGCTTGACGACCACAGCAGGGTGTCCATTTTTGGTGCCAACACCTCGAACCATCATACCAGAGCGCTGAGGTGCCTTTATGCCTCTAGCAGAATTGACTAGATAGCAAAAGACCTCCTTCGCAGTGCATTCACCATTACGGACCTGCTCAAGCATGCCCCAGATAGCAAAATTCCAAGGTTTTAGGGACGAAAGGCCATGGGAAGCTAGCTGGTACAACTGGTTGAGCGTGATATCGCCACCACGGAACTGAGCGGTGATCGCGCCCAGGGTTTCAGTCCAGCTAGCAGACGACGGCTTTTGCAAGCTGAGGAGGAAGTCGATTGCTTCATCCATAGACAAGGCACCCGAGTTGACAGCAGCACCGAGACCTCGCGCAAAGCCGTTGAATGGTGCTGGGTTAAACGCGCCGCCATTCCGAATTCGATTAACGTTAGGGAGTCGACGAGGCAACGTAACCGGTTCTGGATGAGCGCTTTCATAAACAAGGTCATCACCCCCAGCGTGAATAGGGAGTCGGTTTTTCTCGACCCAGTTCTCATGAACTACTCCCTTGCCGTCGGCCCAAGTCAAACACGGTCCACCAGTAATATGCATAAGGTGCTCCAGAACCTCTCGACCCAATCCCCCGGCTTCTTCGCTAACAAGCCAGCAGATATCAAGACTGTCAATAGTATCGAATTCCTTGCTGACGTCGACAGCCATTAGGTTACTCATACCAGGTGATAAGCCACAGTTGATGTAACAAGGAACACCCTCTTTCTTAGCTCGATCATGCAAGGCAAGCGACTCCTGCGTACTTTTGACATCATCGGAGTAGTCCAGGTATGGCACCTTAACATGGATGCACGCTTCTATCACGGGTGACGAAGTGCGATGGTATGGCTGCGCACCTTGAACAACAAGCACGGCATCGGAGATAGCCCTTCGTAGCTCTTCGGGGTTGAAAAGGTCTACTTTTCTCGTAGTCACAGTTCTGGGTAACTGGGCAGCAAACTCGCGCAAAGCTGCTTCGTCGGAATCTGCAAGGACGATGGGTATGTCCGTTGCTTTCACAACAAGCTTGATGGCTTCCCCGCATATCTTGTCTGCGGCCCCAATAAATATGACTGGCTTAGAGCCCTTGGATCCGTTGTCCATTTTGCAGTGGCGTATTTCGATAATATGTTTCTTTTGGTCTGATGAAAGAAAAACAACGCAGCGACTCGCGTCTTGTTATATCCCGACAGAGGGCGACGATGCTGAGACGGAAAAGTGATGGATGATTGATTGTCAGCGTCGACTTTATATTGAGGACGAGGTTGGGGGGATTTTATGTCGTTTCATCAAGTAGAGGTTAGGTCTCGTCGACGTGGAAGAGGGCATGCTACAGAATCTCTTTAGCGAATAGGCGCATCGACTTGTCGAATAGAGTTAAGCGCCTCCGCTGTTTGTCTGGGGATAACATCGGAGCCGTGCGGGGCCGCTCGGGACCGCCTGGGACCGCTACCAGGTTTCTATGGTGGTCTACCAGACTGATTATGAAAGGCAATAAAGCGTTTTTAGGCATCGACTGATCAGGATTGTCCGTTAACGGTCAACGCTTCTGCCATTTGTCTGGGGATAATGTCGGAGCCGTGCGGGGCCGACTGGGACCGCCTGGGACCGCCACCAGGTTTCTATGGTGGTCTACCCGACTGATTATGAACGGCGACAAAGCGGTTTTTGGAGCCAATGATCTTTCTCTAAAATGGCCCTACGATTGTGTTCCAGACAAGAGACAAAGATATATATATATATATCTGTTCAAACCCATCATATGCAGATTAATCCATCAAGAACATACTTCACAAAGCAACCTTTCCAGACACGCCCCAAACACACCATGGCAGACCTTGAAATCCCTCCCGAGCTTTTGGTCAAGCTAGCCGGTCAAGTTGTCCAAAATCCCGGAATTCCAGTAGATGGCCCGACTGTTTCGGCCTGGCAAGAGCCTTCGCATCCTCTAGCGAACGTTCAGTCGAAAACTTTGCCAGAATGCGTCGATTACGCTATTATTGGTTCAGGCATCACTGGCTGTAGCGTTGCTAAAACCATTCTCGAAAGTGAGGCGTCGCGAGACAAGAAAGTCGCCGTATTCGAAGCTCGGTCCTTGGCTACTGGCGCAACGAGCCGCAATGGAGGATATTTGATGAGCCACGCTCCTACAAACTTCAAGCGTTTTGCGGATACTTTTGGAGCTCAGGCTGCGAAGGAGATTGCGCTGTTTTGCAACCGTAACCTCAAGCAGGTCTACGATCTCACCGTCGCTGAGGGTCTTGAAAAGGAAAGCCATCTTAGAGGTGTTACAGTAGTCACCACCTTCGAGGAAAAAGAGCTCTTTGATGAGGCCTGCGAGGCTATTCGTATGTACGAAGAAGCCATTCCCGAGAAGAGAGGCCAACACAAAATCGTTGACAAGGAAACGGCCAAGAAGGTAATGTCTCTTGAGATAGAGGTATCAAACTATCCCTATTAGCGATATACTGACCTCCCGAATAGGAATTCAATTTAAAGAAAACATTCGGTGCTATTACCCTCGAGTCCCATATGTTTTGGCCATATCGACTAGTCACGAACCTTTGGCAGCGCCTGCTTGAACGCTACGCGGGGCGTTTCTCGGTTGAAACCCAGACGCCAGTGACTTCAGTCACGCTATCCAAGGATGCTAAGGACCAATACCCCTATGTTTTAGCAACTCCGCGCGGGACGGTGAGAGCTGCAAAGGTCTTCCACTGTGTTAGTGGTTTTACGGGCTACCTCCTGCCGAAGCTCAGAGGGCCCCTTTTCCCATGCCGACTTACCATGTCAACTCAGAAGCCAGGGCCTCAGTACGGAAATCGCCCATACGCGTGGCTCTTCCATGTGAATCAGTCATATGATCCCACCACTACCGTGACCGCGCAAGGCTTGTTCTGGATGCAGCAAAATGCCCAGTCTGGTGATCTCTTTGTCGGAGGAGACATCCAGAGGCTAGACGACTTCTTGTCTTCTGATGACTCCGTCATAAGCGCTGATTCTGCCGCCAATTTGATCAAGTTGCTGCCGAACAGGATTTTTGACAAGGGCTGGACCAATCCTATAACTAACTCCGAGTTGCCTTCTGCCACTGCACTTCATCGTATCTGGTCCGGCATCCTCAGTATGACCCCTGATCAGGTACCGATTGTGGGGAATGTACCAACGAGCTTGAGTGATAGGAATATTGAGGGGGCGAATGGGTAGCGGCTGGCTTCAACGGATACGGGATGGGACAATGCTGGCTATCTGGACAGGCTATTGCTCGGATGGCGCTGGGAGAAGCAAAACCGGAGTGGCTGCCCGATGTTTACTTGAGTACCGAAAAGCGTCTGACGGACCAGGCAATGGGCCCAGAGGCAGCGCTTCATTCCTTTTTCGCAAGATAGAGACGAGGGTTTCTTTGGCTTATGCTTTTCAGCTATGCGTGAGAATAGGTTAAGAGGGTATGCCAATTTCAGAACTGTAAATGAATAAGCCATATGAAGATTCATGCATTTCAATCAGATTTTTTTCACAGGTATTAGGAGAACGGAAGCATACCATTTTTTTAAACGGCATGCTTTGTCTTCTATGGCGAATGTCCAAGCAATAATAATGGGTTAAATGGTTTGGGTGCCTTGGATATCTGGCGACCTGTTAGCTCAAGAAAAGCTTACAGACCTCGGGGTCTGTCGTAACAAGTCTAGACAGGAACAAGCTAGTAAATCATAGTACTATAGATAATCTCGATTTTAGCCTATTGCGGTTGTCTTCTAAAAGTTTCACTCAAACTAAGACTTGATCCTTCCTACTATGTCTAAACTTTCTATATTTTCTTATTAACTAGCGTAGTGACCCTTGATTATCAAAAGTTTTGGTAACCTACTCCATTACCCCTCGCTGTGGTACCTAACAACGTCACGTCATCTTCTATTCTGCATGACCCTGTTAGCCACGAGAACAACAGTTAATTGGGGACTTGCCTTTCTATCTTCCGAGAAAGAGGATGGAATCATCGTACGGGCGAACCAAATCGACAGTGGCTATAACAGAGAGCAAACCACCAACTGTAGTATTAGCGATGTCAGGGATAATATGGCTAGTTATGCGCGTTACTATATTATATATTAGGCTTCGACATAACTATCAGCTCGACAGATTACATACCGGTATTTGGCGCAAGTATGTGATCATGAGGTCTACGATGATGAGAGACAAGCGTGTACATACACTCCGATCAAAGATTTAAGTCTCGTGTAGACCGTTTGACAATTTTGGCGTGGATAGATACATTCATGTTTACGCAGTAAACACAAAATTAGCATCACGTTGAGTTAATAGTAAGACGTAACACATATGGCGACGTTGAACAACATCTCAGTAATGAAGAAAAATATGGCATTGGACAAGAGCTATGTAATACAGAACTATATAATCCAAACCTTGTAATACAAAGAAAGCGATTTTAGGTAACCTCGACGTTGACATAGTTACCTCCATTGTTAACATGGACATAACCTCCGACCCTGCCATTACTTCCGCAAGTATCGATCAACTGCTGGATGTAGTGCTCTACGCAAGGCAATGGTTCACAGTAGTCATACCCGTAGAGATCATCATCTTGGCAGAGAACCAGGTTGCAAGAGTTGCTCGAGGCAACCGTCTGGCAGCCAGAACCGTATGGCTGGGCACACGGCATGCTGCCAGAGTCAAAAGACCCGCCGACGCCGAAGGCCTGGCAGTCCCCAATCTCGGGACTTCCGTCACTTGTCTGGCACACTGGAGCATCGGCTGGAGGACAGCCAGAGGGCAGTACAGGTGACGAGGTAACCGGGGGAACCCTGGTCTTGGACGGGGGCAGCACCGTGGTTGGGGGCGTGGTTCGAGGTGAAGGGACAGGGGCAGTGGACTGCCGTGTAATCACGGTTGACCTTGTAAGAGGCGTTGATACTGGGGTAGAATCTGGCGTAGAAGCTGGTCCTGTGCTGCGAGTGGTGCTTGGCTCTGTGCCTGGCCCAGTGCTTGGTCGTGTACTTGGTCCTGTACTTGGTCGCGTACTCGGTCGTGTACTTGGTCCTGTACTTGGCCCAGTGCTTGGTCCTGTACTTGGTCCTATACTTGGTCCTGTACTTGGCCGTGTACTTGGTCCTGTACTTGGCCGTGTACTTGGTCCTGTACTTGGCCCAGTGCTTGGCCCAGTGCTTGGTCCTGTGCTTGGTCCTGTGCTTGGTCCTGTACTTGGTCGGGTACTTGGTATGGTACTTGGTCGTGTACTTGGTCGGGTACTTGGTCGTCCTGTAACTGGTGTGGACCCGGAAGCGTGCCAAGTAATGTAAGGAGCATTGATGGTAGCAAGAACATCAAGCATGTCCTCTTCAGCTTGGGCCAAGGCGTAGTTCCATGCGTCACCCAGCGGAGTACCAGTCGGCCCGGCGCTCATTGACCCAGTCGAGGAGGCCGTGGTCGAGGTCGAGGTAGTGGTCGAGGTCGAGGTAGTGGTCGAGGTCGAGGTAGTGGTCGAGGTCGAGGTAGTGGTCGAGGTAGTGGTCGAGGTCGAGCTCTGACCATCGGTTGAGGTGTGGTCGTTGTCCGGGGGGTCGTCTGGGGGCGGGTCAGGTCCTCCAGGTGGCGGGGGGTCTCCGTTGGGCAGATCCGGCGGGTGAGCACCACAGCAGAGTCCCCAAGATGAGCTGCTGTCGCCGTTGGGGCAGAATATGGGGATTACGCAGGATCCCTTTGCACAGAGAGGGCCAGTGCATTTCCAGGCACCGGTAGGACCAATGCTGCCGGAGCTGGTGTAGGTTGAAGTGTATGTGACAGACGTGGTCGTGCCGCCGTTGATGATGGGAACAACCGTAATAACGGGACCAACCGTTGACCCTGTCGTGGTCGGGACGCCTGTAGATCCGGTAGGTGGGCCCGATGGCTTCGTAGTCGTGCCGGAAGGGACCCCAGGTGTCGTAGCGCTTGTTTTGGGAATCGTGCCAGGGGTTGAGCCAGGGTTCGAAGGTTCAGTTGAACCACCAGTCGAGCCACCGGGAGTGCCAGGAGTGGAAGTGGGAGTAGAAACAGGAGTCGAATCTGGGGTAGATGCAGGCTGGGAGGGCTTCGAGAGCGTGTTGGTATGGGAGAAGGTCCCCGACGACTTGCCAGTGCTCGGTTGAGTCGAGAAGTTGCCAGAGTGGCGGAAGCTGAAGGACGAGCCTCGGGTGATGGTGCTGAACGTGCTCGGCATGGTCAAGGTGTCAGAACTGCCTGACGTGGTCAAGCCATCACCACGCATCATCAGCGCATCCCCGTCGGACAGATCATTAGCGTCGACGGCTCGCCTTTTGGTCCCGTGGCCACCGCCACCGGCAGCGGCCGGTAGAACCTCGACGAAGCCGTTCTTCATGATACGCATGGCGTTCCCGCCGCCAGATGCGGAGATCAAAGATGCTCCCACACCGACGAAACCGTAGCTGTCGGCGTTCTGGTATCCCTGATTGCCGAAGCCCTGGCAGGTGCTCCAACCATACGAGTTGGGAGAGTTGACGTCGATGGCACGGGCGCCATCCGTCACGGCGTGGGTCATCTCGTGCAGGGTCAGCATGTCGCCGATTCTGGCGACGTCGATGGGCGCGACCCCGGGGTTTGCGTCCAGGAAACTCCCGTAGGCCTCGCGGCCCCTTGGCAGGTTGGCCTTCATGTCGTTGAGGACCTTTGATTTTCGCCCGGCCAAGTACGCGATGAACTGGGGGCACATTTGAATTTGCGACGGCTTATCTACACCCGTATTGGCCCAGTTGAGTGTCCAGGCGAACTAGTTGATTGGTTAGTCAATACATGACAACATAGAGAGAGCGGTGGAGATGGCTTACAGTGCCCCTGGTGTTTTTGCACGACTGATAGGAAGGCTCCATGCGAAGGTCGGCGTCAATGGTTGGATCACAGGCAAATCCCGGTTTTGGCTGGCGAGCGCAGTCTTGATTCTCGTAGTTGATCGGGGCGGCGGCGCCAGGGGGTTGGAACGCGGTGAACCGATCATAGTTGCAGTAGATGACGACGCTGCTCTTGTCCAGGTTGGAGTACCTCGAAGGACGTGAGCGGGTGATCCTGGGCGCACTCTGGGCTCCCTTGTACTTGAGGACATCCTCAAATATCTTGGATGCCTGCAGCCAAGACGCTGACGAGGTTGAGGGCTTGTTGTCACTCAAAGTCGACGGGAACATATAAGAGAGCAGGTCCCTCTGGGCTATCCACACATCAGACGGGTTTGAAGGGTCAGTATCCGAGGCGAGCGAGTCGAACATGTCCGATGCCGCCTGGGCCTGACTGAAGGCACTGTTGAGCCATTGAGTGATGAGGGCCTGGTTGCTATTGCAGGACTCATCCAGGTAGTATGCATCAACAAGGGGAGTCGTTAGAGCGACGGCCAGGGCGACCAGACGCACGGTACACCCAGCGAAATGCATGATGAAAGAAGAGCCTTTTACAAGGACGAGGCCGTGCAGAAAAACTCTATTGATCCCAAGAGGCGAGGATCATCTCGAGTGTTTCTCGGGGAGCTAGCCTCTTGTTCTTATACATGGAAGAATCTCCTTCCCTCTTAAAGAGAAAACACCAAGGGGATGCCTGAAGGTCGCGGCCTTGACCACTGAGTCGCCTCTCTAAAATTAACTCCTACCCATCAGTGGAGTTTGGGGGCCGAGCTAATTCGGTGAAGATTCCCAGCCTCATCTAATCCCTACTTGCATCAGGTTGCATCGTAATGAGAAGCTCGGTGTCCTTCTGAAGCACATTGCTGATTAGGGACTGGCCACTCCCTGTCGTTCGCAGTTGGCGGTGGCAAAGCAATCAAAACAAGACTCGAGGAGCCGAGTTGAGAACATAATAGATACTTTCTTTTGCCAAGCATCGCCTTGTGGAGTCCGTGTGTACCTGCTGGGCACATGGCGCAGTCGGGAAGTCGGAGGGACTTGGGTCCCTCGGACAGACACACACGACAGGTAACACCCATAGGCGGGATTGCTTTGCCACGATGGGGGCCGAAGCGAGGCTGATCAGGGGTTTAGGTTTGGGTATTGCTTGTTTCAGCCTTTTATGTCAACTTGGGGGCCGGACTGCGCTGCACGGAAACTCTCCATTCGGAAGCTCGGTAGGTCTTAATAGAGTCAACTAAGTAAGTTGCCTAGAGGATTGGTCCGTGTATGAGACGCTGGGACGCGGGAGAGAGAGTGTGTGTGTTAGAGAGAGAGAGACAGAGAGAGGGGGGGAGCGAGTTGGAGAGAAAGTGTGAGACGGCAGAGACGCTCATTCAGCCTCGTGGAGGCTTGACGCGTGGGTTAACCCACTGAGACTCCATGCTCAGCCCAACGAGACACACAAAAGCATATTACCCACTCCTCGTATCACGGCCAGAGGGATGACCGCTAGCCACGTCTGGTAGGTGAAGAATGGATCATCTAGGGTTACTGCATGCCGTTAAGCCGTTCGCCACCAAGGCCCAAGGAGGCCTGATCGTCAGGTCCAGCAGATTACCAATGACACCCCAGAGTTTCGCTCTCAGCTGCTCCATCCTTCGTTTCAGGACTCCCAATTTTGACTGCAAGAATCGGCTGACCCTACGCAGAAGTTTTGCGTCCACAATAATTCTAAATATGGAAAGATTTCTGCTCTTTTGCTTCTGGGTCCTTTTTTATTCTTGTTTTACAAATTTCTTCAAAGGCTTTTGACGTAATGGTAGATGATATTCTAACTATGAAAGTCCCATGCCTGCACGTGACTACTAGTGCTAAACCTGCCTGTTGTACCACCTCATATTAAACCAATTCCCTGCACCACCTCACCTCTGCTTTGCATCGTCGGCCAACCTGCTTGTTTTGTTTCCCTTTGTAATTTACGAAAGGGGCCGGTTACACGCTCGCACGATTAATTCCAATTTCAAAGTCTATTCTTTGCACAGTTTCAGCCTCGCAATTTTAAATTTTCTTTCTTCCTCTTTTGTTTTCTTCATCTTCTGTCCTCTTCGCTCTCTTTTCTCCCTTCTAGGCAATGTCTTATAATGACGAGGATGACGACCCCATCATGTGGCCCCCAGTGCCGTGCGGAAACGCTGAGGACCCAGATGATACGGCGGCCGCACGAGCGGCCAACGCGCCGCCGCTGCTGCCGGCCAAACGGCCGCGGGCTCTGACACCTCCGCTTCCTTCTGAAGATGGTGTAGGAGAGGGAGATGACGAGGGCGGCAGCAGAAATGGAGGAGAGCAGCAAAGCAGCAGCAGCAGCAGATACATGCTGCGAAACCGGCCTGGCCCAAATATCACAAAGGCTGCCCGCAAAACTTCGTCTTCGGGCCGTCAGCGCACAGCCGACCAAACGCAGTCTCGGTTGCTTTCGACACTGCCCGCCGAGATTCGCCGAGCTATTTGGAGGCACGCCGTGGGCGGGCAGCTACTTCACATGGCCCGTGTCCCCAACAGACTCGTCGCTCTTGAATGCGCCCAGCCAAAGGACCTGACCAAGGACCTGGAGACCCTCAGGCATGACTGCTGGTGCATGACGAGAATCGGAGCCCTTCGTGGTACCATTACACGCGTGTACCGAGCCAAGAACAGTGCCCAGCCCACACGACCTGCCAACCTTCTTCCTCTGCTGCAGACCTGTCGGCTAATATACGCTGAAGCAGTGTCAATGCTATACCAAGACAACATCTTTGATATTGATCATGTGGATACACTTCTTTACATGAAAAGATGTATACTCCCTCAGCGTCTACATCAGATTACAAGACTTAACTACTCTTGGGATTTCTCTCAACCTGTATACCCAGATTCTCCACGCTACAAGACCTGGTGTGAAGCGTGCAATGTGCTCTCAAGTCTCAGCGGACTACAGGAGCTTACAATACACCTCACCGGAACTTTCGAGGTAACCTCGGAGTATTTCGAAAGTAAGTCCTGGGTGCCCCTGCTGGATGAACTCAAGCAGGTCAAGGCAACCCGGCGATACGACGTGTATATCCCATGGTCCGAGGAGGAGTGCAGCAGGGCGGCCGCTGAGAATGACTTCCCTTTCACCTTGGTGTCTCGGCCCCAGAAGCCGCTTATCCCACGGAAAACTGCCAAGGGCGAGATCGTTACGCTATTTTAGGCTTTGGATTAGGCTTGCTGGAGCTGGCTTCGGTGTGACGTTTTGTAAAATCAGTCCAATTATCTAGTTTATCTTAGCGATTCTAGGCGGCGTTAACCTGGACTTCTATAAGGATACCTATGCCAATACATGACGGATATAACCACATCATCTGTACCTTGTGATAGCCGGACATGCATGCATTTAATTAAGAAAATGCCGGACTCGAGTAGTAAACCGATGGTCTCCTTGGCGGGCGGCTCCCGGTCTTGCTGTTGTTGGCGCAGCCATATAGTGGAAGGCTGTCATTTCCCAGCTCTATTATTCCAAGGCAAGAGAGCCGCGGAGACGCGGCAAATCTATATGAGCAAGTACAATCTGGACACGACTAGCTAACTTACGCAAAATGTACAGGCTCTAAAGGATCAGGTATGGGCTTTTGCCATTTCGCCGCTTATGCCGGTTTAGTGTACAACTGGCGCAGAGTATCAACCAACTCCACCTGTCCCTTGAAAGTGGCATTATCATAAATAAGATCTCCTGCAATAATCCCACCAGGCAATATTGCTGTTGCCAAGTCGACATAATCTTGTAAGTACTCTTCTGGAATCTGCTTCGCAAAGTGCCCTGCAAGGTGATCCTTCTCGATAGCCCTTAGTTCAACGTCCTTCCCAGTAACCTCCTCAACTGCGTTCTTGAGGTCTATTGAACTGTAAAACCGAGGACCAAATAACTTGAGGAAATGCGGACTGGGATTCGTGGACTCTGAGAGCAGGGACTTTGCACAACATTCGCCGACATCTTTACGGCTCACCTACGATTGGAATATTTCAGCATGGACCATGTAGCTAGCACCCTGCCTTGCCTGTGGTCTTGATTGAATAGATTGAATACTTACTAAAGGAACCTTGTAATCAAGAGGGGTAATCCACGAGTGAATAATAGGCGGGTCTGCCTGCGCCATCTCAAGAAAAGACGCGAATTCCTCTTGAAACCAGGAAGGCCTGACTATAATCACCTCAGGCGCCGCATCCTTGAGAATCCTTTCAGAAATATGATTTAGGCGTATAATGCCCTAGATTGTCCCACTCTGTTAACCGTAATATACTATAATAGAAAAGGAGCATTTGAAACATACAATACCATGGTCGTACTGAGAGCCTATAGCCGAGAGGAGGACAAGTTTCTTCACATTTGGAGCATCCCGGAGGCTATTCTTAACATTTTCGGCGCTCCGAGTTGCCCATTCTCCCTGATCAGGTCCATCATAGATAGCCGGTGGGATATAAAAGACTGCATCTGAGCGGCTAAAATCAAGGGCATCCCCAACGCCGATGTCGCCTGTGGCGGTTTGGAAATTTGGGTTGGCATTGAAGTTGTCCGGTACTTTGGAGGTGTCTCGATAGATACCACGGACACAGGGTTTGCTTTCAGACCCTAGGAGTACACGGATTGTCTCTCTGCCAATCCTTGTGGAGGCGGGCACGACTGTAATGTGGTGAGACATTTTGGGAAGAAAGAAGGTAGCAATCTGATTGTAGCCTAGAGTATCTTGGAAAACTTTTTGATGAAGCTAGGGCCTAGATTTAAATACACGGAGCAAGAAGCACCAACAGATTATTTTCTACAACCTACGTGGTTTCCAACTCGGCTCAAACCTGTTACAGTACAAGTATCGAAGTAGGGAAAACGTCACAGCCTGCGCAAAACTTTCGCCTGAAGACTATAGGAGGAGCACAGAATATCGGAGCCGCGGAGCCGCAGAAAACGGAGGGGGGTTTCCCTCGGTCCGATTCGTCCGAGAGGGGAGAGCGCTGGTCGGGGGAGGCAGGGTAAGTGGATTCGAGGCTTTCTTTATGCTCTACGGACTTCAAATCAAGGTGTCTTTTTATTTTCTTTTTCTTAAAATACAACTACCGTGTACATCTGCTTAGCTCTAACTCGAACACATTGCGCGTCGCAAAAGACCCTTTCTGCGAAGACTATTAAAGTCTATAAGGCACCTACCTCCGCTTTACAACCATTATAACCTACTCTAACCGCAATTATATTATTTCATAAGTATGTTGCATCCTTATGACTATATACTAGGGCAGATAGCATCAGCAGGCGGTCGGGGAAGGCAAAACCTGTTTTGGAATAGTGATAGACGCTAAACCCAGAGTGAAAGTGCCGAAGTAGCAATATTCCTGGATAGCTCTCTATAGAGTATCTGACTGGATATATTACATGACTGATGTCTGGTAACTGTAACAATATAATGCGTCTTTTATTGAACCATAACTTGCAATATACGGAATCCACGGATATCAAGACGGATGCAGTTAAGGGACGATCAGCTGATACTATGACGTTATATAAGCAACCGCAATATATAGTCGACAAGAGGTCCGTAACAGACTTAAGCAGAACCTATGAAATTTTATGGGAAGACACTGTTTTCACCACAACCTCATCGAGCCCTTATACTATTATACCAAGCATAAATATTAATTCCACCATGCGTACAGCAAGATTTGTCAATGACAATATCACGGTGGTGGAAGACGCCGATGTGAGGTTGACACTCGACGATGAAAAAAATACGGATGAAGCTATAACTTTACTTTGCCCTGGAGAGACCAAAAAAAATTTCACCGGCAAAATTGTCTGTATTGGACCTTATGAGACCTATTGTACTAGGTCCTGGGAGCTTTCAGAGGATGTGGAATTCGATGCTAATAAGGATGTTACTGTGACGGACGACAGTGAGCAATCTATACAAAGTGTTTGATGAGTAACTACTGACCCAACTAAGCGCTCGAACAAGGAAAGAAGGTGGTTTGGATCGTCTAAAGAACGGAAGCTCGTGAGTGTATGTAGGGGAATCTGTTTTCGTGTATACGCAATCCTGTAAATGAAATGACACAGACAGAGATACAGACAGACGGGCTACTTAAGCGTTTGTGGAATAAAGTGTTATAGACACTACCAAGAAACAAATATAGCGCGGTGTGCAACAAGATATTGGAAGAGGATTGTCCACTTCGTGCAGCAGCCTGTGCCATCTGCGATACAGAGAGTTCTATACTACAGATCATGTTATAGGTAAGCTCGTGCTTTGAGCGGGTGAGGTTGGGCGCCATCCTGGTGTAACCACTTCTGAAGACCTTCCGTACCAAGGGACGGGGATCTTCGAGGTTGGGTATCGAGGTGTCAGATGTATTGAAGTTACCGGTGAATACACCTCACTGCAGTCCCAGTTACTCTCTGCAAGAAACGATGCGAGCCCCACTGACAGAGATACTACAGAATAACTCCTTGTATATACTCATGTGTCTTGGGTATTAGGGTAACTGGTTCGAGATGTTCTGTAAACTAATTCAGACTGTCTGCCTCATACTTCACCCTTTTTCCATCGATAAGGACCTAAGAATTTCAGCGGTGCGACGAAGTCCAAAACTGCAACATCTGAACAGAGCCGCGAATATTTTGCCGCTTGTTTGGAGAGCCAGGCAGGGTCGCGCTCCTGAAGGGTTTCCCATGGTGTCCCAAAACTGTAATGTAGCAGTTGCTAGCATCATAGCACCATATATCATGTCGTCGTTACCCGCACTATAGGAGACTGCATCAGGTGGCATACATGGCAGGCTCTTGACAAAACCGACGAAACTCAGGATACTAATAGGACGGTGAGATCCTACTAGCAGTGAACCGCCGGACTCATAACCTCTTAGAAACGAAAGAAGGAATCAATATGCTGCATTCTGGAGTCAAAGAGGAGGAAGAGGACATTATAAGGTCCTGCAACACAAAAGAAACGAAGTACGGACGAACGACGGAACTTGCCCTCCAAAGACCAACTTTTAAAGACACAGTTTAATCATAGATGCAAGTGTCTTTCCCAGTCCTGTGGTACCTTCCCTCTGGGCCCGGGAACTGGCTGGCTACGTGGATGATGTGATGGTGAATGCAAGGGCGGGCCCAGAAACGTTTCCTCCGTGCGGTAATCAAAGAACCAATCCTCGTCAGGCTCAAAGCTGTGAATGATAGGATGTCCCGTCGACATAGAATGTGTGGAGGCGTGCTGTGATGGAGACGAGTCACAGCAGCCAATGTGTCCACACTTGGCACAACGACGTAGATGGAACCACCATGCATTGGCAGCTTCGCACTCCACGCAGCCGGGGCCACTCGGTGGGGCGTTCAGATCAATTTCTTCGACCATGGTGTACAAATTTGCTTGATATGTAGTGAGTCTGTTGTGGATGAGTTGATAGCTGCTCTGCAGTTGACGGATGACATATCAACTCACTACTGAATGGGTGTATGAGCAGCTGGTCGATATGAGAGAGGAGGGATAATGTTGATATGGATACTGCTGAGGGGCTGGATATATATGCACCATTTTATATATAATGTCATAATGATGAGTCATGCAAAGAAGATAATACACGTTCACAGCGACGCAGCAGCGCCACCAGCGCTCTCGATTAGGGTCTAAATCCTCTTGGAGGTATTTTTTTTTTTAGATCCAAACATTTTGTCCCACGTCACATAGGACTAAGCAGAAAGTTTTATGTCGCGCTAGGTGGCAAAAGCTGTTAGCCGTTTTCGTAGATCAGAATACATCGGATTGGACAAAGGCTAATCGTTATCGAAGAAGTTTGGTTCCAGCATACCCGTGGCAGCATCCACTATGAATTCCAGGGATATTCAATTAATCGCCAGCGGTATGGGCGTTATAACTTTGAATTGTTACCAGCACATATCATTCGTCTTCAACTCAAAAACCATCAAGGCTGCACTGGAGGCGGCGTGCATGTAGCTGTATATTGATGATATTGTCAGTGGTGCCACTGCTGAGGATCAAAGGAGGCGAAGAACCAGTGTAAAATAATTTGCTCAGGATGAAGGAACATTTAGTGATGCTGGAGCAGTTGATCATATTATTCTGTATAGTGAGTAAATTTGTTACATAGCCTCCACACCAGCAATCATAAGTATCCTAAGATGATTACTACTGTTGATACAGCACTGAAATATAGTATATGGAGTTTGTTTAAAGCCCTTGGAGGGTCTTTGACAATCATTGTGCTTTAAGTGGTCTTACCGAGGCCTAGTCGATCTACGCAACTCCAGTATTGCTCTGCTCTCACACCGATCCTGGGGGGGGATTGTGTGATTTGAGACTTGCTCGAGTAAGAAGAAGAGCTACGTCATTGGCATAAATTCCGATGTTGTGTGCTGAAGCATCAGATTGATTAGCCATCAATATGGACTTTTAAACATTGTATACAAAGCCTCAAGCTACTGTCTTGAAGAATTAAAATAGATTAAATAAATCAAATAAAATTTTTAATCTTTCTCTGATTTACAACAGAACCATCACAGTCTAGAACAGCACTCTGGATCGTTCCGTGTGTGGTGACACTGAACTAACTTAAAAATAATTCGTCCGTTAATGCCTCAATTCAGCCGTCGGGAAATATTACGTCATGTTGTATTGGTTGTCTGGCGAGGATGATGCTCTCGATTTCAGTTAGTCAGGCTTGTTCCACACGGACAGAAGGTTTTAAAGCACTCGCAGATAAACCTGAAGATATGCGGCTCTCCAAAAAGAAACTTCCGAGTTTGCGCATGTAGTCATGAGCGAACGTTTCACAACTTCCGTGCCCGGGCCAGCTGTAAGCGCCATCGGTGTGGACAATGACGCGCCTCCCGAGGAGGTAGTCGACATACTTGATGGCTACGAGTACGTCGTAGTCGGTTCAGGCGCCGGTGGTGGACCTTTGGCCGCGAATCTCGCCCGGAATGGCCATAAAGTCCTCCTGCTCGAAGCAGGGGATGATCAGGGAGCCAACATCCACCAGCAGGTTCCAGGCTTTCATTTCCTGTCCACGGAGGATGAGAAGATGCGCTGGGACTATTTCGTCAAGCATTATGCGGACGAGACCATTGCGCGGCAAGACTCGAAAATGACTTGGGAGACAACCACCGGAACACTGTATGTCGGATCGAATCCGCCAAGCGGATCGAAGCCTAAAGGCATCCTCTACCCCCGCGCAGGAACGCTTGGTGGCTGTTCGGCACATAATGCTCTGATCACTATCTATCCGCACGAGAGTGATTGGTCAAACATCGCCCATCTCACCGGCGACACTTCGTGGGATCCGAAGAATATGCGCCAGTATTTCAGGCGCCTGGAACACTGCGAGTATCTTCCAAATGGTACCTCTGGTCACGGCTTCACCGGTTGGCTGTCTACGAACCGCGCTGATCTCGAATTGACACTGCGGGATTCTAAGGCCCTTTCTATCATCACTGCTGCTGCTACTGCCATGGGAAATACTATCCTCGGCCTGATCCCCGAGAAAGTTGCACAACTATTTGGACTCCTGCAGCGGGACGTGAATTCCAGTGATCCTCATCGGGATGTGACTGAAGGCGTCTATCATATACCCCTGGCCATGAGTCAGGCAAAGCGAAGCGGCACTCGAGACTTTCTCGTAAATACGGCTAAGAAGT